CATTATAGCATTTTATATTGATATCAAAATTAAAATGGAAAGCTTTTTTATTTTATTGTCTCCAACTTTGAAATTTTAATTGACGTAGGAATAAAAATTCAAAACGTTTTGAATTCAACAATAAATTTTCAGATTAATGTACCCTATTGATTTAATAAAAACCATGCTTTTGTTTTCTTTAAAACAAAAAGCGTGAAAAATGATGTGTCTAGTATGTTTTGTTTTATTTTTCAAATATCAATGTACCTTTTTTTTTTTTTTTTTACTTAGTACTAATAGTTTTGGTCATTTTGAAAAATAATGCACCTGTTATCAAATTTTTGAATCTGGAAAATATAGGTAAATTAGTATAAATTTCATACATGTTTATCATGGACCATGAGCCTCTATTAGGTGGCATATTGTTAATATTTCTCATATAAAATATATTTATCATTTAAATTAGTGAATCTACAAAATATAAGTAAATTAATTTGTATAGGTAAATTAGTATAATATTTCATACATGTTTATCATGCACCGAGAGCCTCTATTAGTAGGCATATTATTGATATTTCTAATATAAATATACTTATTAGGCATACTATTGATGTTTCTCATAGAAAATATATTTTATTATTTACATTAGTGAATCTACATAATATAGGTAAATTAGTATAATATTTCATACATGTTTATCATGCATTCCGAGCCTCTATTAGTAGGCATATTATCAATATTTCTCATATAAATATACTTATTAGGCATACTATTGATATTTCTCAGATGAATATACTTATTATTGAATCTACAAAATATAGGTAAATTTGTTGGTATAATATATTAATAGTATAGGGGCTTGTTGCTCATCATAATTAGGGTGAGTTATGATCAATGACTAAAATATCAATAATTTTGCCGATATTATCGTTTTTCAGAGAAACCGATATTTTCCCACATATCCCCCTAATTATCGTCAAAATATCGCGATATTATTGATAATATCAATAATATCTCAATATATTCGATATTATCGAAACAATCGGCGTGGCTCCGTAGTCGTAGCTGCCCAGATTTCTTTCTGCAATCCAGGCTCAGACGCAAGATATACGCCTCAACGACACCGATTTTGCCGCCGTTGTCGAAGTTGCGGCGAAAGTGCTCGCGGAACGGATCGCAGTTGTAGATCCGGAACCCCGTGGTCTTGGTTGAAGCAGACGTGGAACAGAGACGGAGGCGAGCGCGGCGCCGACGGGGCAGGCTCCGGGGGGAGGAGGTGAATGGGTGGTTATTGTGGAGGTTGAGGTTGGGGTTTGGGGGCGATTGGGGGTCGTGGTGGTCGTCGCTGGAGTCAACGACAGATGTGGGGTTGTCATCGGTGGGATTGTTGAGGAAGGCGGAGGCGAGAAGGCGGAGTGGGTGGCCATCGGAGGAGGGAGGTGAAAAGATGAAGAAGAAGATGGAGCGGAGAGATAAAAGAGAAACGTTTGAAAAGATGAAGAATAAGATGTAGAAGAAGAAAAGTCTGAAAAGATGAAAAGATGTGAACGGGAACTTGGGAAAGTGAAAAAGTCTCTGCCTTATCACAAAATAAAGGGATACACAATAATTACCCACTATCCCTTAATAAATAAATTATATAAAATATTTAGATAATATTTTATTATTTGTTTTTTTTAAACAACACCATATTACACTCTTGTATTATATTATTATATTATTTTTCTTTTTATGATTAGAATAAGATAATCTTATATTATACTCTTATGTTTAGATATGTATATTTTTTTTAAATAACGTATTTCTCAATATTTAATCATCTACTATAAAATAAATTTAACTAATTTATATAATATATTTATTCCAAGATATACAAAAAAATAATAATTTGTAAATGTTAGTATGCACTTATTTACAAAATATACAAGAAATTTACCTAAATCCGTCTAGGCACTAGCCCACCGCCCGACATTACATATTCAGCCTGTAATATTTATATGGTCGTTAAGATGTCTGCAAGGCTTGCAAGCTAATATTTATTATCTAGAATAAATTTCTATATTTAAAAAAAACACCAAGGGGATTCGAACCCCTCCCATTTTACTCCTTCAACACCTTGACCACCATATCACTTATGTTTTTGTTAAAATATGCTAAAATATTTATATATATGGTTTTATTTTGAAGTCTTTTGCAAGAAACAAATTTGCACATGACAATGAATCTTTGACAATTTCTTTTCAAGTATCTACTTTTGAACTACTCACCACGTTCACTCTATGTGGTACTAAGTCACTCATGTATCTTACCATATAATGTATAAAATGTAAAATATTGTACTAATTCATTATATATAAATGATTATGGTATGTTTGAACTTTTTTCATTAATTACTACATATTTTCTACACTCACAATGTTTGCCAGCTCGCTATATAATCAACTTAAATCAGTTAAATCCATCATGCAATGCATTTCCTTCCAATTTTTTATGATAAACTAATAGATAATTGACTAAATAAACATCCTACAAAGTTTCAATAAAAATTTCCAAGTTTTTCTTACAATTTCCATGGTTTTTATTCAATTTTTATCGATATCGATAATATCCCGATATTTCCATCGAAATTTCCGTGTTTTTGAACTACCGATATTTCCGATATCATCGATATTTTATACCTTGGTTATGATAACCTTTATTGACTTAATTAGGGAGTTGTGGCATAAGTTGTAAATATATTGTAATAATAGGTCATTTATTTGCCTACATGTCAGTTTATTTGAAAATTGGATTTTATTTAGAGATTCAAATTTATGTGGGTTTTTGTTTATGAAATGCAACTTGTCCAGGCTTATATCTAAAGAACCCTAAAATATATTAACACTCACACATGTATAATGCAATACACACATGTACAATATATACTTAAATGACATACCTTGATGCCTTGTTGATCTGCAACCATGCTTCGAAAAGAACAGCAAAAAAATGATTTTAATGATGAGGAAGTGTCTGGATCCAAATGAGAGCTAAAATTAGAAAAACTAAATTTCAATTTGTGTACAAATCTCAAATCACAAAAGCCACAAATTTGACGAAAACAAAACCATCTAGATACAATATTACATCAATAAAATTCCATAAAAAATTTCAATATCTTGGGCCAAAAGAAAAAACAATGTGACCTATGAATACTGTCACAGCCTGTCCTGGGATAATTTTATAGATGGTGTGAAAGGACGGTTTTACCCTTAAACGTGGGTAGTGGTGTGCGTACATGACTTAGGTTTAGGTCCAAGTTATTTTCCTAAGTATTTGGAACTAATTGGAATTAAGTTGTTTTGGTTAGTTGGAGTGGACAATTTTGGACCACACACACACTCCAACTCCCTCTCTCTCTCCTTCCCGTGCACTCTCTCTCTCCTCCCTCTCGATTTTCTTCTGTTTCTGTCACTTTGTATGGACGAACGCCAAACTCACATTTCACGCATGGATCAACGTCAAGAAGGGGATTTTAAGCTCATAGGAAGCTTGAGGACGTTCCTCCGAAGCTCGGAGGACAAAAACCAAGTAAATTGGACGTCGGGAACTTGAGATTGGTGAGTTTTAAGTTTGGCCGGATTATCGTGGATTTTTTCGGCGAGATCCCGTGAATTTTAGGTCCTAAAACTGTTGTTTCGCATATAGGGAAGACTTATCCCGAGGACGAGCGCAGTCAAGGGCGACTCGGGGGCTACAACCCTTCGACATACCAGTAAGTGGGCTATTGATTTTAAGTATATACGTATATGCTTGATATTTTCCCAGAAAATGCATTTAAATGAATTATGCTTTAAAAATGTCATGCCTATTGATTTATGCTTAAACCAGGAGTTAGAATTGTAAGCATAAATGTGATTTGGTGTTGTGGGTGCTCAGGTAAGTTCCAGGTGAGTTTATGAATTGTGAATGTGTATTGAATGGTTGTGATTAATTGAGAAACATTGAGCTCATAAACCTGCACCCCAGTGTTAGTGATTAGCCAGAGATATGACACAGACCTGTATGTAATGTCACCTCCTGCACCACATGCTCACATTGGATCTAATTTAGGTGCACAATCTTGTCGTACAGACCATCATAGGTGGTTCCGACTCGTAGGTGACTAGCGATTTATCGCCCAGCTATCATGAGAGCGTAGTATTAAGCATAATTATATTACACCCAGTCTTGTCATACAGACTCTTTTAGTGGTTCCGACTTGTGTGCAGTGTAATGCCGTATAGGTCATTTGTAGTGACTCCGGCTAGATGGACTAATGAGTTATGATTTCAGCCGTACAGATTTCTGCAGGGGTTCCGGCTAATATGTTATTTTCCATGAATTTATTCTCACCTGGGTTACTTATTCTATTTTATGTTTTGGCATGGCATACTTATGAATATGGTTATGTGAAGCATGATTTGAATTGAGATATTTATATATATATATATATATATATATATATATATATTTATGCATATGTTTATATTCTATTTCTGGGAAAATTATCATATTTTACGGCGAGGGGTTAGAGTGTTTGATAAATGAAATGATTTTGAAAAACTTTGTTTTTGCACACTCACATTTTCTGTTTTGCGCCCCTCCAGGTTTTAGGTAGACTTGCTGTTGGTGGCGTACGAGGATCTTGGCGATTCTAACAGAATAAAATATTTGTAGGACATCTTCTGGTACTGTATAACTAGTACTTGTCCTACTAGACTGCACTTAGACTTTCTATGCTCTGATTAGGAGTATTTACACTTGTATCTCACTCCTAGCACTTCCTGTTTATTAGTGCACATTAGTAGCTTTCGGTTTTTATTTATTCATATATTTCTTATCTTTATTATTTCCGCACTGTGCACATGGCTACGTCACCCTCACGTGACGGCCAGTATGCCTCGATCTCGGTCGGGGTGTGTCAAATACTATGCATCCAAGAAAAAGGATAATAGGAGTGAATGTGGGTGCAAAGTTGTGCGAATGTGGCACGAATGAGGTAGGTTTATGGGCTTCCAATCAGAACTGCAACATTGAGAATGAGAAACATCTATAACATAGTCTACATTAACTGAACATTTAGCTTAAAACAATGAGGTCGAGAAAAATTATCGGAAGTGCAAACTTACATGTACCAAATATAGAAAACTAATTACAAATTACTTATAGGATTCAACATAGAAAGAATAAGAGTGTCTAAGATGCAGGATGATAAAGGAAGTGTATTCTACTCCAACTTCATGTGGTATACATAAGCTTATCACAACTCTATGTTCTAGTTCTAAATGGATTTTTCAATAGCCAGAAATTCTAGAGAAAATTAGTAGACATACCGAGGTGGTAATGCCACATAGGCACATAAATAGGAAGATTTGTAGTAGCCCTCCTCGAATAGCAACCGCTTGAACAACTCGAAGCTACAATAATGAAAGGGTGAATTTGACTATTTTTACTCAGTTATAAGCATATCAAAATTACACAGGGAGGGAGGGAGGGAGGGAGGGAGGGAGGGAGGGAGAGAGAGTAACTTTGTTGTGGAGAACAAAGAAGAAAGATTACCCCAAACTGAGCCACAGTTTCAACCTGCACCCGTAAACCAGTGCGAAAACAGATATGAGACATAAAACTATGTTTCCATACACATGTTAAAGAAATCAAGAAAAATAAAACCAAAATCAATGCATTTTCACTTAATTCTTTTCTATCCAAAGCGAAACGGAGAATCGTCATTTAGCAACTACTTCCTAATTCTTAGAACAAAATGCTTTCATCTTTTGAACCACACAACTTTCATACAATCAGAAATCATCAAACCCTTTCATACCATCAAGTTTGTACAAAAATATAAATATTAAAAACCAAATCCCAAACTTAAAAGCCAAAATTAAAATTAGTAAATAAATTGGAAATGCTTTGACAATAGATGATTACGTTATTAGGAGCGTTGTAATTAGGTGAAATATGTGTGGTTTGCTCTAATTGACTGAAAAAAATGAGAATACCATTGGGGATGGAGGGAGGGGCACACTGACTGGACCCAAAGAATTGCAAAACAGTATTGACAATTCGCAAAAGAAAGAACTCACTTGCTTAATAGGCTCAAGCACACAAAAATTGCCTGCAACTCTTTTGCCTGAAAAATTAAGAACTCAAATCATGAGTATGCTGGAATACATAAAAACACAGCTAATTCAAGCATAAACTATCTCTGAAAAATTAACACCTTAAGTTTGTTTTCCCAATCTACACCATAAATATTACTCAAAATTGAACCAGCCTTGATAACAAACTGAGAAAACTCCTTAAAAATCTACAATACTGTAAAACACCCTAATAAGAAGAAGAAAATAAGATGCCAAGAATTCATGAGCAGATAATTATAAGCTAAAGGAAAGAAAGGAGATTGGGAAACATACTTCAGTTTTGCAGCTTTCAAATTTGGAAGAGGGAAAATCCATTATCATCAGAACTCTTCTGTGAATTATCTGAATTCTTGTCACTCAAAGTTTTTACAGAGTACAAAACAAAAGCAAACCAGAATCATTTTTCTTTTTCAAGCAGTACATAGAAATGCATTTAAGTTAGACCAAATCCAGATTAAAGCAAGTGTTCTAGCAAAAGGATTCTAAAAGATCACCTTAAGCCTAATTTAATCATAACATTATTAATATGACTATGGAATGGAGAAATAACAATACATAATATTCTATTGCCAATGGCTGACGCATTTGATATTAACAGATCTTGGTTTCCTTGAACAGATTTGCAGGTTGCTTGTAAGAGTTCTCGTCCAATGACAATACTTTCTGTAATAAAAAACCATATAAATCCACAGAAACTAAAATCAAGAAACGACAACATAAACAAAAAAGAAATTCAAAAAGTACATAGAAGTACAGTTTATAAACTAAACTTTACAAACAAAATGACATTTACAATAAGAATGAACAAAACAATAAATTCAATCACAATCGAAAGGGGGTAAAGAGTGGTAACCTTGCACAAATCATTTTTTGACAAAACCAACACCAAACAACAACCAAAATTACAAATTTCCATTGGCGAATACATACACACACATATACTGGATTCCGAAAGCGATGAGATAAATATACCTTTGGGGCGTCAATGTCAGAAGAGTAAGTGAGGCCGAGATTAGCCCGAGAGACAGCGTGAGCCATGAGCTTCCCTCTATGAGAGCACTTGGGTGTAACTACAAAAGAAAGTCAGAGACAAAGGGCAGATTGTAATTTCGTCAAAAAAGAGGAAGAGTACAAAGGAGAAGTGACAGCAATAAGCGTAGACGCCAAGGATAAAGTAAATATGTATTTGTGAATGGGGTTAGGCTGCTGCTAGCTTTGTATAGTGTAATAATGCAACTGCAAATAGACCAAGCTTATGCTACTAAAAGCTTTTACAAAATCATAGAACTCTTAACAGTTTGAACCCTACCGAAAAGTTTATATGAGATAAAGAACGACCGTACTTAAGTGCAACAAGATCATAAGCTCTTGCAGCTTCTCCTCCATAGCAGAACCACCTGCAGTCCAAATTAACCAAGATCCAATCCAAATCAAGAACAAATTAGTGAAAATTTAAACTAAAGTCCCTAATATTGTTGTAGAGAGAATTCAGATCAAGATTAACTACATTATTTGATTCGAATGGAATCCAAAAGCAGCATAAACATGAAAGGTAAAAAATTAATAGCAAAAGTCACATTTCAGCAGCAACTAATAGCAGAAATCAGATTTTAGTGGTAGACCAAAATAATTCAGTAAAAAAGAAACAATCCCAAACAAATAGAAAGAACTGGAGAAACAATTCCAAACAAATCTTAGGAAAGCAACCACATCCCTCCCTCACCCTCTCTCTCTCTCTCTCTCTCTCTCTCCAATTCCAACTTCTCCCTACGTCTATCTCTCTCTATAATAGACGTGCAGTTTTATTAATCCTTGTTGCCGAAGCATGCAAGATAGTGAAAAGGTTGTTTATCTAAGAAAAATAGGGCATATTGTCCTTCATATAAAGCAAGAGTGGAAGGAGAAGAAAAATTAATCATATTCCAAAAACCAAATATTCACATAACCTTAGAAACAGCCACAACAGTCGACCCCATAAAAAGTTGCTCTTCTAAAATTTACAATCAAAGAAACAAACCATCATCAGTTGTACCGTAACAAGCAGGAGCATAAAATGAAGTGATTGAGTTTAATAAACCTTAGTTCATTTACACAAAAGCACGAAACATAAACAAATCTGAAACTATAGATTGCCAAAAACATCTCAATAAAAAATTTACAGAAAACCAATCTCCCTATAGACACCACAAAAAATGAATACTAAGTTTACCCAAATGAAAACGGTTTCACGAATCTCACTGTTGAGCTATATATTTTCACAAACAAAATATATTAGCAAGTCTTATTAAAAACCGGGAGACTTAAAAAAAATTAAAAAATTAAAAAAAAAAAACCTCTACACCTGCACACTCGTGGACCTCAATGTATGACAAGTTTGATGGAGTTTGTCATCTACATGGCAACCAAATATAGAGGTCATGTGTGTCTAGAACTCTCCAAAACTCCCATGTTCTCCTCTCAAGTGATGGCTTTCTCTCAGCAACTCCACACCGCAGGAAAATAGCATCCCACTAACTTCAACTGCCATGTCCACCATTCGCCTATAAAAGGGCATCAAACCAAAGGAAACGGGATAGAGAGAAAAAAGAAGAGAGACTCTGCAGAAATTGAGAGAGAAAAGAAGCAACGAAGTACTGATCTCATTGCCGACGATTTCGAATTGAGTCCTGCAGGGAAGGGGAAAAAACCACAAGCAACAATCAGAAGGTATAATACCTACGTTTCTTTTCTCTTCAATTTCTTTCCAGTAATTTTGTTTTGCAGGCGGGTGTTTTCTTGGGTAAACTTTGGTCAGCAAAGAACCTATACATTGCAGGCCTTCCTTCCTCGCATAGTGCTGCAACAACCGCCGACATCATACGAAAGTCCAACGGAGGCAACAGCCGCACCATGTTTCCAGTCGTGGTCTCCGGTTGTCTTCTAGAAGGAGCCCATGCACTCTGTGACTTGAATGAGATGGATTTGCTGATGCAGTGTCGCACAAAGCTAGAAGAGACCGAAAAGGTCACGACAACAGAGGAGAGAAACAACAACCTCTGCCCGACGACAGAGGAAGCTACAACAAGTAATGATCTTGTCGAGCCATTACTAGCCCAGCACGGAAGCCATTGAAGACCCGGTCCCTATAGAAAGGCTACCAGGAAGAAGATCGTCGAGTCGTTGTCCACGTTGCCCAATAGTGCATGTCGTATCCTGTAAAAAGTAACCAATGAACAACCTCAAAATATTGTGCACCAAGTTGTAAAAGATGGTTCTCTACAAGCAATAAGGCAATGGTGCAGAAATGGTGTTTCCATCGTTTCGTTACTCCCACAAACATGTTGAAATGTAATCTTGTCTTGGCCCAAGACAATTGATCCGGCTCATACACAAAGAAAGATCCATGCACATGCTAGAGAATTCTAGCAAAGTTCAAGTTGATGTAAGAGTCTAGAAGAATGGTGAGGATTCCACCAACATACAAGATTAATGTAGATAATTCCAGCTTAGGAAGGTAGTGGAATTATCTAGATATCTCTAGCATGATGCTTCCATGCTTCTCCAAGGTTTCATCCATGCCTATAAAAGGAGAAGGCATCCACACCATTTGAAACAACCAAGAGAGCAAGAAGTGAGAAAAGAGTGAAGAAGTGTAAGAGTGTTTGAGTGTTTCCTCTTGTAATAGTTTGTGAGTGAATAAAAATTTTGTGTAAAAACTTTGAGTGTTCTTTCTTTCTCTTGCCTATCAATTTCACTGCATTATATTCTTCTTTGTGAGATAAACATCTCCAAAAAGAAACTCATCCCCGTTGTCCGTACTCGCACACGCAGCAGCCCCTCAACTGATGCTCTCCAAAATCAGATCGTCACGGTCTCTCCCGGTGATTGCAGCAGCCTGGAGTGGAAGAACAAGAAAGTGGTCCCTGCCTATTAAGGACATACCAAAGATGTTTGGAGAGTTTGCATCAAAATAAACGAAGGAAGATGGTGCAGCAGAAGCAAAATCGAACACCTACAAAGCAAGGACTTGAACCAAACCACAAAGACTTCCACTTGTAAGCCATTCACCTTTCGTCAAAGTAACTATAAGCTTCAAGTATGGAGGAATAAGGTTGCAAAGAATAAAGACAACAACCAACCCATCTCCGTTGTTTGTGTTGCTCAATTCACTTGCCACTAAAACTCTACAAAGAAGCAACCCGACCGCCGCCATCGTTGTCTTGAAGTCAAAAAGAAAAAGCTACCTTAGAAGTGTAAGTTGTGCTGCCCGCATAAAGCACCCAAAATGGTGCTGGCTGCTGTCTAAGTTGCTAGGGAAAAAAGACGGTGCATGTGCTATCTGTGGTCGTGCTATAAAAGTATGAGTTACTAAAAAGAAGAAAAGTCAAAGTAGAACGTCAAAAACTTTTGCAACATCAAGAAGGCCCTTTGGATTACCCCTTCGCCTTTTTCCTAACGAGCTACTGCTGATTCTGGTCATGGGGTTGCTGTTTTCTTTTAAGTGGTTATATTGTAACTCCTAGTTGAATTCATAGAAGACAAAGCATCCAACAAAGAAAAGAAAGGATGGAGTTCTGCTACAGATAAAATACTCCCCAGATAAAATGGGAATGTTGCTCCACATGGAGATTAAATAAAAAGAAGAAAATCAATAGCTTTTCCATTTTTTATTCATATAGGAGTTTATCGATTTTGGCTCTGAGAACAAGAAGTATGGAGACCATGTCCTTGGAAAACTGTCCTTCATTAAATCACCAACTATGCATAAATTTGTTGGCAAAAGTTGAACATGACTCAAAGAATTTAGCACGTTGTTGCTGCTCCATTCTTCGAATGATGTTCCAGGAAAAAGAGGAAGAAATAGTCTTGCTCATCACATGGGTTATCACAGAGCGTGGCCCCCCAGTAAGAAGTATTTAGGCCAAAGTACAGAGCACGTCAAAATGGCTTGTTCCATGAAAGTCTGCACCTTACGTGGGAATGTTTCTCACGTGGAGAACAAAGGGAACCCACGGCTCCCCATCTAAATTCATATGGGCTTTGTAAATTTAGAAATCAAAAGCATGGAGACAAAAGCTACAAGCCAAAAACAGAGGAAGGGGAAGCAAAGTCCTATTTGAAATTGGAAAGCTTAAATTCACAAAGAAAATGAGAAAATAAAGTTTGGTGACAACTTCCCTTAGGAAAGGCACTCACGTGAAAATCAAAAGGGAAAAGCCATCTCAAGAATTTTTATTTTTTTTACAAGTTGTTGTGCGCTCTATTACACTATTACACTAGGAACTCAACAATGTCATATTATTTCACAAAGAAATAATGTGGAGGGAGGATGCATCACGTCATTGGTATGTGAAGAGGAGATTATGATAATCTCACAAGAAGACAAACATAAGCAACATCCCTCATTGACCACAAAGAAGAATAATTAGGAGGAAACTATTTCCTATAAAGACAAGTTATTTTCCAAACTTGTTGAAAGAAGAAATGTGCAACTCAATGATGACACTTTATCTTTGGTTGATGCTCCATTCTTCAAGTAATGCTAAAGAAAATGAGGAAGAAGAAAGGTCTTTTGAAGAAAAAATGACATGAGAGCCTGCGATCTCTATCCTGTCGAATATTGAGTTTTGGTGCACAAATGAAGCTAAGGATTTATTGTAATCCGATGAAGCTCATCACAACTTATCTCTAAACAAGTAGAATGCGAGTTTGCCAGACGTTTCTGCAAATATAAAAGGAGAAAGAGAAGTGTTCGGTAAAGCAAACAAATGAGTTTTAAAGCAAGGGACACCAACATGAAGTTAAGCTTGGATCTTGTTGTCAAGGCATGCTCGAGATCGTTTGCATGAAATGAAGCAATCACATGATGATTCAAAAATGAAAAATCCCACCAATTAATAGGGTGCCATCTGCCTAAAAAAAAAAAAAAAAAACCAAAAGACCAAAGTGGGCAAGAACTTAATGGCATGGGGGAGGCATACGGAATCCAAATGGTTTAAGACAAAAGGGGTGGGGACAATGTCAACATCAAACTCGTGGATGTAAAATACCGTGAACATGAACCACCTCAAAGCACCAAGCTCAATAGATTTATGCTATGTCAACTTTAATTTCAAATTCTCGAAGTGGTCAAATGGCACGAAGCCAGGACAAGTCTTAAATGGCACAAAGCCATTCCAAATTCAAATGGCACAAAGCCGCTCCAAATCTCAAATGGCATGAAGCCGTATCAATGCTCCAATGGCTTAAAGTCCTGCCTGCAAGAGCCTAAACTACATAAGGCATCAAATGCTCCTCGCCTGTACGAATTGAAGCTACACAAGGCATCAAATCTCAACAAATTTGCGAATTATGCCATTTTAATTCCGCAATGATACGTAGGCAGTCTAGTACCATATTCTAGACGCAACTGCAAAACCCAAACATTAAACAGAATCCCTAGTTCATTTTCAACCAAATTCACATCAAATAAAAAGCCAAATTCCTGGTTCATTCAAACCAAATTCACCCAAATAAACCAAACACCAATTCCTTTAGTGGGTCATTCACTCACTAAAAATCTAAATATCAAAATCAAAAGAACTACAAGTGACTTGATCCCTTAAAAGGGTACGTAGGCAATCTAGGGCTCGACCTAGGTGCAATCGCAAAATCAAATAAACACCCAAATTACAATTTATTCAAATTGGAATCAAAGGGTATTCCTTTCCCGAAAGAAGGGTTGTAATTAATAGGCGCATAGCCTAGAATGGGTCGAACTCGAATTAATAAAAACCCTCTTCGAAAAAATGAATAAGGGTGAAATTGTGCCGAGTGAATTATTTGTTTACATATTGTGTACTATTTTTGCTCAACACTCACATCTCACCTTTTTTCCAGATGAGATACACACTTAATGCAAAACCATGGCAGAACCCATACTCGAATCAAATATATAGACAATCAAATAAACCTCTGGATTTCAACGCAACTTAAAAAATTAGACAAACATAGATTCCAATTTCATCTTTCCTCTGTTGGGTACCAAACACCACCAAAACTGAAGTCATTGACACACCAATAAGCACAGTGACAATGTGTGGGACATATATAGAGCTCCAGAAATTGATTCAATCTGCTACTCTTAAGGACACTCAAACAACCGAATTCAATATATCTCAACAAATTAAACGCAAATAAAATACAAAAAATTATAAAAATCAAATGAAAATAATAAAGCTGCAAAATTGAGCATAAGAAGTTCAAGATCCGATTGAAAAAAAGTAGCAAGAGTATTGATGCCAAAATTAACTTAACACACAAATTTAACCCTCTTTTGACAGTTGTAGTATAAGTATAAGTAGGGATCGTTTTGGACCGGGGATTAGGAGGGCTTGCTAATAACCTCTAAACTGACTCAAAAACATAAAACTAAACTTAAAAATACTTAACAAGACTCACAAGACTCAAAGCAAACTTAAAATACTCAAAACAGCTTAAAACAACTAAATAAACTTAAACTAGACACTAGGAATGACTTTGGACGAAAATTGACTTTTACTTGAATCAAAACATTTAAAAACACAAATTAAAACAGATTCTAACTAATTAGACACACTAAAGTAAAGGGGGATTGAGTTTTGGACGAAGTTAAAACAAACAAACAAGTATGAAAAACTAGACAGATTGTAAAACAAATTGAGAAATAAGATGATGGATGGGATAGCTAGAGGCTTTTTCTTCACACATGATATGTATGCAAACAACTCGATTTCCAGTTACTACTTCATTGAATTATGAACGACAATGCTCCAAATTAACCGTGACATCACTAGTTAACTCTCAGATTTTCCTTGTTTTATTGAATTGGATGACATCATTCGACAACCCAAAACATTCTTCAAAAGTTCCCTACATGACATCATAATAGAGATACAATCAAAGATCATTACGTTTAATGAAAATCATAAGCATTGATAAAGCACTTGCAACTATGACATCATGTCGCTTATGCTAGGAATTAAACTTAACGCGATCGTTTATAAGCGACCTTCACTACATGTGAATATAAGTTTGTAACGATTATGTCAAACTTTCTTATATTCTAGCAACGGATTTATGCATGCCAATTAAGTGTTGACCCTTAATTAACAAATACAAATAAGTTATCAATCAAATAGTTAAGCCAATTACATTCATGATTCAAGAGTTCATAACTGGAATTTATCAAATTATATTGCACACATAATCATGGCTTTGAAATCACCCCTAGCCAAGAGGGGTTTAGCCACTCATATTGACAACAAAATGAAAGGAAATGAATTTAAACATTAGAAACAAAAGAAAGAAAACACCTAA